AAAATAACGATGTACATAAGCACTCTCAGAGAGACGAATACACCAAAATAAGAGTTCACTATGGCAGAAAGACGCCAATGAGGTCACAACAAACCAAAACCGAACAAGGATGGTTAATATTGAGCAAGATTCGGACGGATTACGAACGAGAAACTTGAAAGAAAATTACCAGCTAAACATTTAAAGCTGTTCCATCTGTGACGCAACCCCGTATAATTTTGAGTTTGTAATAAAACTTGACACGTGTTCTAACTAATCTCTTCATCCAATCAGATACATTCTGTGAAGCAGTCGCGATGAATCTTTCCCGCGCTTTCTGTCTGCGTGCAGGCAGGTTGCAAGCTTTTGGTTGGTTAAGCTGCACTGATTAGCTCTGTGATTACGTTAGTTTCTTTCCCAGTAGCATTATCGATATCGCTTTCGATACACAAACAACTTTCATAACAAACATTGAAGGAGAGCCTTCCACAACACGAAAATAGTAATACTAACTAAAACAACTTACAGTTGTAAAAACATAAGGTCTATAATAAAGCGTTCCCTGGTTGAAATATTTACAACCTGTACCACTTTCTCTCATTTTAATCAGGTCGTCGAATGCTCAAAGTTATTAAATATTTCGCCACAAAACGGTTTGCTTTATTTTATTTTCTAGCAATATTAAGTATTGTGTAGCACAGTAGTTTAGACGCACCATGTTAGACTAAATAATCTCCAGCAGTGATTTCATTAAGATCTCTCAAAGCTCAAAGTTATTAAATATTTCACCACATGTCGATTTACTACATTTTTTTTCCTAGCAATAGTAATTATTGTGTCCGCAATAGTTTAGACACACCGTGTTGGACTAAATCATCTCCAGCAGTGATTTCATTAGGATCTATCAAAGCTTTACGTTATTAAATATTCCACCACCTAACGGTTTGCTATATTCTTTTTCTAGGAATACTTGAATAGTAAGTATTGTGTAGTACAGTAGTTTAGACGTACCATGTCAGACCAAATAATCTCCGGCAGTGATTTCATTAAGATCTCTCATAAGGCCCTCTAGCCCTGCTATTTCTTTATCAAGGTCTGCTACTACCACATCCTGTAACAAATCAGAATAAAACTGTCAACAAAAGTTTGACTGATCCACCATGTTGCTTGAGCATAGTTTATATGAGGGAATGGTTATGAAACCCGGAAAAGTTCTTTGTTTGTATGTTTTTGTTTTGTTTTGTTTTGTTTTGTTTTGTTTTTTCACTTTCTTGGCCTTCACCGTGTATAAGACACAATAGTTGTTAACCTGTGACTGAGGAACTAACAAAAAGAAACGTTTCGGTTAAGTAATTCATGCATAGTGAATGAGGACAAAACAAAAGATTGTGTACGGTTTTGGACCTTCCAACAAATCTAGCCATGTTTGTTTGTTCCTTTGACATTTACCTGGCCTCATAACCATTCCCCTCTATTAACTATGGCCAGAGCAATACACAGTTCGGTGGAAGATGGCAAAAGAGAGATAAGGAAAACAAGTGATGTGAACAAGCTTGACTTGTTTACCTGGTCTCTTGGTGGCGACGGAGGAGGATTTGATCGTCGAGCGAAGATATCTTCGTATTTTGGAGGCGGGGTCCAATAGCCATTAGGCGGCGTCCTTCGGTTGTAACCCACTGGTGGTAACTGGATGTCGTCCGCGGGGGCCACCGGAGGTTTGGGTTTGGGTTTTGGTAACGTTGCAGGAGGAGACGTGTGGAGCATTGGATAGACTGGCACCTGTCAATATGCAACAACATGGTTATCGTAAAATACCAATCAAAAAGGCTTATGCATGATGCACAAACATTGGTGGGGTGGGGAAGGGCTACTTACTGGACACAAGAATTCGCGTCTCGATATTTTTATGAACGTTTTTCGAGGTACAAGTAGAGATACTGCGGTCAACTGTTCAAACAAAACCTGACCGCGTGTGGATATAACGATACGAAACGTACAACAAGCATTGCAGCAGTTCTATATTGACAAATAGAACTCTCCCAACATAGCGTAGGGAAACCCAAAACTAAATACGTTTACCGTCAGAGGGCTTAGTTCTGTAAAAAGGACCATGAGTCCAAGATGCGGGAGAATTCTGGACGACTTCACGATAGAGTAATTGCTACGAATGACTTTGGTCCCCTATGGAAAATTAGAGAACGGTAGCCTATTGCAGGCGTTCAGTCAGCTGAAAAACGGCGAGAGAAAAAACTAGTAATGAGGGCAGTACGAGGAAAGCCCTTCGAACCGCTGCACACTAAGTTGACCGCCTGGAAGTGGCTAGCAGAACTTATATAAAGAAGCGAGAGGTAAAGGAAAGAGAACATCGTGGAGTTACCCACCTTCGAGCTCGGCGCCCTGAAATCTGGGTCATACGATCTGGACCTCTGTGGAGGACGGGGATCTGCCACATCAAGAGTATTCTCACATGAGCCTGTGCGCGGAAGGTGCATTTGATATCTTGGTGTACTTGTTTTGGGATATATCGGCTGTTTAACTGAAAATCAACAAGACAAACAGATTAACGTATTGTAAATGACTTATGACCTCGGATTAAAGCGCCAGTGTTTTTTGTTTTTTTTTTTTGAAACGCTAAAACTCCGTATAATGTTACAACCACAAGCGGGCCTGTCGGTTTATTTGTCTTCCTTTTAGTAGAACTAACAACGGATCTGTTTTACGGTTTCTTCCAGAGTAATGTTTAGACGCAAAGGCTTTTCATCGCTGAGAAGTTTGCAAAGGGAATGTAGAACATCCAGTAGCGTTATTCCGGTAAGACTAGGCAGGTAAAGTCAGCTGCTTCACAAATGTCCAATATGCAATGATAAATATAAAACAGCTCAGCTCGGAGCCTGCCAAAAACTAACTTCACAGCTACGTTACTGTACATGAGAAGATTCTAAGCAGTTCACAGCAAAGTTACGGTACCATTATCGGGCGTGACCACTCTTGGGGGTAGGAAGGGTGACACTCCAGGGGACGGGGGAGGTGTTGGAGTCCTGTCTTCATCGGCGCACTCCGGGTAGGGATCCCATTTACTGTCAATCACTGGAGGAGGAGGTAGGTCTGCAAAATCGTCAGGATCAGCCTCGCTGCCATTCAGAAACGAGCTCCTCTCATGGTCAACCTTGATGTGGTCGAGGGGAGAATCATCCAAGGGCTTCATTTCCTCCGAGCTCCTGTACAGATTAAAACAGGTCAAGTATAATGATCAATGTGACCATAATTAACAGAAGGGAGTGGTTATGAAGCCTAGCAAACTTCAAATGTGCAGGCAAAAATACCAAAATTATGCCCCAGGGGAGTATAGTTGTTCTATGTTTTCTAATAGAGCAGCCGCCGTGAGTTTCAAATCATGTCCCTGTTGGACAAAAGTGGAAGGTGCACGACAGTCTTTGGTTTGGCGCTCATATACTTTGCATGAAATACATAACCGAAACGTTCCTCAGTAAATCCTAAGACAGATGTAAACGGCTACTGTGTTTGTACACGGTCAAGGCCAAAAAAAGCGGACAAAAACATACAAAGAACTTTGTCGGCTCGTAACCACGCCCCTGCACGAACTGTGATGTGGGCGATGAGATTGCGTGTATGGCACGGTTTGTTCAGCATGCACTGACCTCCCTTGTCTCTCCTTTGCAGAAGGGAACGATCATTTATAAATTCTTCTCTACCACTTTCTCACCTGGGTATTGTTGACGTGTTTGTGACATCAGGAGCAGGATTAACAGCCTCGACTGGTTTCATTTCAATGTTATCTGTGTGGTTGATCCACAGATCTGGGGGTTTCTCCTCTTTATGTTTCTTCTTCGCCGAGCCATTGGCTTGAATAACTGACTTGTAAGTTGGCGGTTTTCTGTGATTTGTGAAAAAAAAGACAAGTGAACAACGAAAAAAAAGTTGTGTTCAAAATGACTGAGCAGCTTTGCTCGTGCAAAAAGGCTCCCAGAAACCGGCAGGATGAAGAAATTCAGTGAATGGCTAATTCCCTCTACAAAGAGAAAATGTCCAGGGAAAATATTGTTCAAATAAAAAAAAATAAGTAAACAAATACTGTGTTGTAAATAACGGTTCACCTCTGTATGTCATCTCCTGATCTTTTCTTACAGAGTATAACACTAATAATGATGATAGCAATAAGCGTGATGCCAGCCACAGCAGCTATTACAATCCACAGTGTCTTGTTCTTGAGTCCTGCAGCTCCCTGCTGTGCCTCAGGATCAGGCTCACTAGGTACAGGTGTCAAACTCAGGGCTGTAAAGTCGCAAAACCACACGGTTAAATTGCCCATTTGGGAGTTTGTAAAACTTCATAAGGGTTGGGTGGGCTTATAAAGGGAGGGGGGAAAGGGATATCGTGAGGGGGAAGGGTTATAAGCTGCAACACTGGAAGTGGGGTCACAAAAACTGACTTACAGAGAATGATGGTAGATAACCACTGGGATTACTCTCTCCTTGCAACTAACTCACTGTGAATTTCTATTTGAAGTAAAATTTTCTGTGTGAAAGTAGGTTAATATAGAAACTTGACAGGGGAGGGGGTAAATCCTTAGGGGCTAATTTTATTTACAAGCAGAAGACATGTGAACATACAAATGAAGAAGCTTATAAGTGTGGCATTACAAACAGCCTTGCTGTTGTTTGATAACAGTAAATCACTTAATTACATAAATTAACAAGGGTAAATAGTTGATTGCATAAGCTGTACACCTCACGAGGTTAACAAACCTGTTGTTGTAGGGGTAACTTTTGTTTCTGGAAAATCTGAAACAACGACACAGGAAAATAATATGTAATTAGACCAAATAAAAGCACTGAGTACTTTATCTGCAGTTTGCATTTTCTTTTCTGTCAATTTAAATAAATGTACCAGGCGAGAGTCCAAAAGAAACAGCCATTGATACTGGACAGGCTGTGGGTGGGGGTGGGGGTGGGGGAGAAGAGGTGAAATCTGGTTTTTGGATTTCGTATGACATTTTATGGAGGCCAACATTTTCTACGAATTTTATTTGATCAGTATTTCAAGAAGAATGCTGAATTTTGCACCCTGAAAAACATTCAAACTGATTGTCTCATCTTATTTCAGATAACATACTGTAATCTTACACAGTGGTAAAAAAGTCAAACTCCACCCAGTGTTCCTGCCAACTTGCTGTTTAAAGAAAATGAATATTACAGATATATTACCTGTGAGAGTGGAGACCTCTTCCTTTTCTGACATAGGTCCCCAGCCTTTTATAGTTTTTGCTTGCATTTGGAAGTAATAAGCTGTTCCTGGCTTCAGATTGGTGATTTGCTTCGTCAATTTGGAGCCTTCAGCTTCCACAACTTGCCAAGTCTTGAGAGAAGCATTGACATTTGTTGAGTAATAAATGCGGTATTTAACAATGTGGCCATTCAGTTCTAGTGGAGGCTGCCAGTGCAACGACAACTGAGTAAAGTTCTTTTCATGTGGGTCTCCTGTAAGATCTGTAGGAGGGCCTGGTTCTTAGAGATGAAAAGAGTCCAGATTACAATCAGAGAATATTTGACAGTTTTTGAACAATCACAGAGAAATCAAAGAGAAGAGCTTGTAGAGGAATCATCTCAAAAGTAGCTATCAAGTCCTGAGAGCTTACATTGATGTTTTCCCTCAATGGTAATTTCTATGATATTAGTTTGGATTTTTTCAGCACTCTTTATCAAAATAGCAAGTGCAATGGCATTTGGACTGGAACTGGCCTAGACTGGCCTGTCTAGACTGGCCCACCTAGACTAGCATAGCTATCCACAGGCCATACCAAGTGTAAAATGTAGATTTTATTAAGAAATAAAATGATGATGATGATGATGATATATTGCACAAGCTGATCGCTTTAAATCAGGTTCTATCCATCAACAGATTTACCACTTACTTAGGAGTCTCTTATTATTACAGCTTGCATTATGGAACAGGGTTAGCAAAGCTTGTGGAAAAAATGTCACGTCAATAAGAAAATAAGCACGAATAAAACAAAATGTTTCAACATGGAGCAAAGTGAAGCAAAGTCAAAGGAATTCCAGATGACTTCTGACAGTATTCTGTTAAACAAATTTACACTACATGGAAGACAATTTAATGCTGTTAAATGCAATTTAACGAAAATAACAACAAAGAGTAGCTGGTATTTCTGATCAGCCATATTCATATGGTATTGCAGGCTCAGTCTCCTTCACTAGGGTGTAACGTTGTACTAGCGTGTTTCAGCGGCATGGTCCTTGCCACGTTTTGGTCATAGGATTGAGCAGTTTCCTGCACATCTCTGGTCTATTCCTCAACGCCTTTCTACCCCCCCCTGTCCCCTCCCCGTCTCTACTGTTAACTCAGTGTGATGGGTGCCTGGGAGACTGCATGAGGCTCATGGCTGGGTCGCAGGGATTGCCAGCTATGGGAGAGTTATACTGTCTAGCGGCCAGCTGGTCACAGTGGAGGCCCCTGGATATCCCAGGCACCTATCTTCCTTACAGCACGATGCAGTTGTTAACGATTTACTTACTGTCTTCCATTGTGAAATTGCCGACAGTCACATTTATTGCCTCATCATTGCGTCTCACATAAAAAGTGTATTTAGTATAAGGTTTCAATTTGGAGCACTTGATTGTCTTCTCTGTTGTATTTCCACAGTAACTCAGTTTTTTGCGCAGAGCGTAGTATACATGATAAATCCTTGGAACAGGGCCAGAAACCTGTGTGTCCCGCCATGATAATCTCATTACTTTTGAAGATAAAGGAATTGCCCGAACACCTTTAACAGGTTCCAGTTTTCCTAAAAACAAAATAGGAACTTTTAAGTACTTTTTGTAGCACATTTCATCCGTCAACATTCATCACAACATTAAGGGGGAGATCAGGTACAAAGTAAACTAGAGCTTTGTGGATAAGCTGTTGATTAAATATCCACAAGTTGTTTGAATGCAAAAAAGAGTCATGACACTACCAAGATGAAATGTGAAAATTTGACATCAACATTTTAACGAGACAGAGGCAAAAGCTCTATTTAGAAAGAAATTAGACTGTTAGAATTTAGCGTGTGTTTCATGTAATGCAAACACTAACCTTTGTAAGAAGGCAGACAACAGAAAATGAGTATAGTAGACCGATTCCCCACGAAGTTCATCAATTGTTTATTTACTGTTTAGCAACACATTTACAGTGCCTTGTTCTGACAATTTCTTGTTGTACATATTTCAAGGCTACATGATAAGTAACCCAATTGATTTCTTTTTTTTGATATGTGTATTTACCTTTGCTATCCGAGGTTTGTACTTCAGTTTGGATGTCTGGGCCATTCCCATTGCTGTTGACTGCTTTAAGTAAGATAACATACTTCCTGTTTGGGCCTGTACACAAAAATGCAACACTAACCATAAGTATGAGTAGTTATTCATGTTGCTCAGGGCCTGAAACATGTTCAAAGGATATCAAAATTACTGCAACTCCACAAGTTTAGTGTAACTACACTGTGGATTAATGTGCAAAGTCACAAATGTATTGAAAAATTTGTCATCTCCTAATTATTAGTATTGATTTTCCTCTGAAGGCTGTAGAAGAACTCACAGCAAAGAAGCCCAGCCACATGAAACTCGGGCATAGTTCAAAATTAAGGACAGAAGTCGCAAGGCATGTGATCTTGGGTAGTCTGTTGAAGACCCATTTTCCCTTATATCATCAAGAGATGTGCAACATAAAACAGCATGGGACTGAACAAGTGTGAATCTTGCATTTATGTGTTTTTACTAAACTGGAAAAAAGGGAAAAACGAGGAAATGCCCATGGACAGACTACATGATGGGGGAACTCAAAAAAGCCTGAGACAAAACCCTACTTCCACATTCAAAACGATCATCATGTATTTAAATATTTATACCACAAAATATAAAAGTGAAGAAGAACTCCTTGGCTGGGTATTCTGAAAACCAGTTAATGCTAACCCAGGATTAAAAGTTAACCAAAATATTAATTTTTCTTGCATAAGAATGTTTTCCAATGTTAACGTTTTGTGTTTAGTGAGATAAGTCAAACTCAAACCTGAAAGACAAACAATAAAGACTGCAGAAAACCTCACCGCAAAGTTACAAAACTGTATTCAAAATCCTCACTAAGCCTGGGTTAGGTTAATTGGGCTTTGAACATTGCAGCCCTGCATTACAAAATAATGGTTCTAGTGAATGTAAAAACCCAAGTAAAAATAGCAAATTATGTACTTACTAAGTCCCTTGATGAGGTACTGCGTTTTGTCACTACTCAAATCTACATTGACCTGATAAGGACTGTTTTCCCCCCACTCTATCTTGTAGCCAGTAATGCAGACCAGGCCAGCATTTTCTGGTGGTTGCCAGCCCACTAGAATAGTATTTGAGAACTCCTTCAGCAAATTGAATTCTGGTTTCCCTGGGGTTGTATCTTCTGTGGATATCAAGAAATCAAAAGAAATCAGTAACACAATCCCAGCAAAAGGGTTAGAGCCTATCAATAGAGGAATCAAAGTTTGCAACTTTTGTCTCCTTAGCATAAACATTTTAGTTTCCAATCGAGCTACAAAAAAATCAGTTCTGAGTATTGAAAGCAAATCATGATTAACTATTCCAGGGAAGTTACACCCAACTTATATCACATGTTTTGTGTTTCACCTGTTTGAAAACACAAAATTTTACAAAGAATTTATGGGCTCATCATTTTGCCATGCAGAAATTTTGTAGTTTTTGAAAGCAAATATCTCCCTCAGTATTACATCCAAAGTAGAAAGGGCGAAAAATTTCACCATATACCAGGGCTTGACTTTCAGGAAAAAGCCTTGGTGCCAGCTGGCTCCAACATTTTCAGATTTAGTCACCAGCAAAAGTATTTCAGTGAAAAGTGTGAAAAGTTAGTTGCCAGTGAAAAAAAAAAACGGTCACATTGCAGGCCCCAGCGGTCGCAATGTCGAGCTCTGTGTACTAAGTTCCACTAGCTCTTTAGTCATATGCTACTGAGGCAAAATGCAAACTATGACGTCAGCAAAGATTGTCAACCTACATTTTACCCACCTTTGCATTTGGTGACATTTGTGCTTGCTTCCACCCAGTTTCTTGTATATACTCCAAGCCCTGAGTCAGTCCCTGCTGCTATTTTAGCTTCGTATCTTGTACTTGGCATCAGCCCTTTAATACTGTAGCTCTGTCTGTCAGCCTTTAATGGAAGCAGGACCAAAATCCATCAGCATCAACATAACTCTAATTTAAAATTTACCAGAGTTGACTAGCAAATACTAGGAAGTTAAGTCCTGAAATAGCATCATTCACAAAATTAGTAAAAAATGTTTTTTTTTCCACAGTTGTTTCAATATGTAACGTTTCTTTGCCATGTGCACAGAATACACTTTTCTGTTACTTTATGACAGTGTCATCTTCATTGTGCCATTGGTTTACATGTCCCCCGTCTCAATTTCAAACTTCTCCAGAAGGCCATCAAATCACTGTCAAAAATTCTACAATTAAGGTCATTCCACTGAAATAGAACCTGCACNACGATTACTTGCTTAATTCACGTTTCCGACAATTGTTTCTTGCTCAACACTGAGAATTGGCCCATATTTAATTTACACAGAGAAATTTATTACTCAATTCAATACAACAGAGAAAAATGATAGGTCACCGTACCCGTTTTCGAGAAGATGACGATTTACCTCTATGACGAGGTCCTGCCGCGAAGAAAAAGCCGCCATTTTTTAATACGCGCACGCTAATCACATGTGGAATCATGCGCAGTAGGGATGCACAATGCAATACTGGGGAATGACCTTAAGGTCATGCTGTTCCTCGTCATTTTATCAGCCTCCCTGTCATTGCTTCAGAACCATGTCATACTGTATGTTGGAATTTTACCTAGGTAACAAGGCCTCATATGTACATGCAGGGCTTAAAATTAACAAAATCCTCAAGTCGCCATTTGACGACCAAGTGGTAAAAAATAGTTGCTAAATGTAAATTTTTAGTTGCAAAATCAAATAGAAGAAACACAATCCATAGACATACATGATGTACTCAATCCTCCAGGGTTTGCAATGCATTATATGGCAATTTCGAACGGGGGTAGCCATTTTGAAGTTTTCATGTGTGAGAGTGAGAGAGAGAGAGAGAGCCATTTACTTTAGTGTGCCTTGGAATAATCCGACATGGCAATCCAGTTCGCGATCAAAGAATCATGGGTTTGTTTATTATATCTATTGGAATAAATTGTGTCTTTCATCCACAAGTAATGTTCTTTTTCCTTTGAGGTTACTGCAACTACTCTCGTTTTTCTAGTCGCAAATAAGTAAAGTTAAGTTACAAATGCGACTGTATTGGTCGCAATTTCAAGCCCTGACATGGTATTTTCTTTCTTAGACAATACATTGCATTTGTACTGTGCCACACTGCACCGCACCGCAACGCACTGCACCACACTGTACTGTAAAGTTGTACTGCACTGTACTGTACTAGCATACTTGGGTGTTTTATAGTAGGGTGTAAATTGAAGTAACTGACATATTTACATACTTCTATGGTTGCAGTTGTATTCTCCCCTTGGCTGCCAACTTTCCTGAACTTAATGATGTAGAAGGAGATTCTTCCATTCACTTTGGTTGGATCTGGAGCCTTCCAAGTTGCTATAAGACCTCTCCCTGAACTGTCAGGCTTTAGAACAAAGTCAGTGGGTGGTACTCTTGGAACTGCAAACAAACATTGTATAAATCTTCAATAAAGTCATCAGTGACAGTATTTCGAGAAGTTCTTTGTTTGCTACTTTTTAGCTTCTAATGATAATATGATGCTTAGTTTTCTATGATTGAATAGCTAACAAAACCCAGCCAAGTTAGCTACCACCAATAGAAAACAAGGGAAAGAAGTTTAGAATTATTGTTTTAAAGGATAGAAGTCAGAGACTGACAATTCAGAAGATAACAGGGAGCTCAAGAAATGAGAACAGGGATGCCCAGGTTGACACCTTGGGAAAAAAATGGATTTATATTTTGTCTTTGAATGTCACATTTGTCTAGATCTGTTCAGATCACCTATCAGTCTAAAACTTACTCAGTCTAAATAATGCAATGACAGCATTCAGTTCCATAAGGAAATACAAAAAAAAAAGCCATCGACATTCATTCTCAAAGATACAAAGAACTTTGGTTATTTCAAGTTGTTGTTTTGTAGGCCAAGAAATGTACAAAGGTTTACAGAGCACATGTACAGCCATAGTTCTTTTGTCTTTAGATGCTCCTATTGCTGTTGCCATTGTGGTTTACCGAAGCTCCCTAATAGTAAATGTGGAAAACCAACCAGCTCAGTCTTGTGATACTAACTTAACAAATTCAAAGACCACCAACCATCATTCATAGAAGACCAATGAAGCTGCTAAACAAATTAAATAGAAGTACCTCCTCCTTTGGTTGTTGCCTCTGTTATTGTCGATGCCCCTTTTTTTCCTCTTCTATTTTCAGCATACACACTAATTATGTATTTGGTGTAGGTTTTAAGGTTGCGCAGGAGTCTTGTTTGTTGCTTAGTGATTTCCTGCATCTCTCCAGACATACCACTTGCATCTTTGTAAACAATTACATATCTAAATACTGAGCTTGGCCTGTAAAGAGTGATCAGATGTTAAGGAAAAATGAGTTTATTATTAGAATGTTTTTATTCTTTTCATACTAATATGATGTTAATTTAGCTATATATATTGATTTTTTTTTATTTTCATGTGTTTAAGTTTTAACTTTGGCACGATTGAAGGTAAGTTGTTTCAGACTGTGTACTTCCATCAAACATAATTTACACTTAACAACAAACAATTCTCTGTTTGCAACATCTGTGTTGAGAATAAAAGGACCTAGTACATACTATATCAACATAACAGTCTTTTAGGGAAACGTGATGTAATAAAAAAGATTTAGAGTTTCTTTGTTAATTCATCTGCAATAAATTAACAATTTTCATCACATTAGGTCACAATTATCATGCCAAAAGATTGCACCAAGGCAATTCAAAAAAAATTTCTTAAAATTTGGAAATTGAAGGTGGCTCTGAACCCCACATGTACACAGATTTTTTAAAAAAACTTTGCTAACAGTATATTGCATCTCATTCTTCTGATCAAAACGTTATAATACAAAATGGGGGTCACAGAGCTCATTTTCAACTGACTAGCACTTGAAGCTAAGATTAAGGGTGGTTTTAGCAGATCAGACTGTTGCTATGGTAACCTATTGTGTCATGAAAAGGATTGTTACCAGCATTGTAGCATCAACTGATAATGACCCATCAAAATCTAAGTCATAGAAAGTGCTGGAAACTGTTACTGAAACCCCTGCCTTAATGCAACTTACCCAGTAGCTGGTTCTGCCCATGTGACCCTTATTGATGAATCTGTTTCTGCCTGAGCCGACAAGTCAAGAGGTTTTCCTGGCACCTGTGAGCTTAGCAATGTCCTGGTTGATGCTTCAATAGAAATAGCTCCTGCACCTTGCTTGTTTTTAGCAAACACATTGAAATGGTACATTGTGTCAGGTTTGAGGTCAGACAGCAGTATTCTCAAGTTGTCTCCTGACGTGTTGACAGTCTTAAAATCAACAGGACCAGGACCTGTCACAAGTAATTACACATAAATAAGGTACATAAATAAGACTGGCCAAATGAAACAAGAAAGATGAAAAATGGTATTTTCTCATGCACTGCTGGGGCCTGGGTACAGGGCAGGCAGCCGTTTCTGTTGTTTCTGCCATTACCGACTTTCCCACCCACCCAACCAAAGATTTTAAGTTTCCATACAATGCACAAGCCCTGAACTTTTTTCATTATTTCCAGTCTTCAGCGTAATTTGCTATTTGTATTAGCTTCAATTTTGCAATAAAGGTCAGGTAGCAGCAGTAAGCTTGACATGGCTACCAGTGGTGTGTGACAAATAACTATTAGATAAATAAGTAAATATAGAGATGTAGAATAACCAGTTGAAGACTCATGCACATTGACAGGATTCATTGACAAGAACCAGGATTCTGCAGTTAGTAACAAACAATTATAAATTGTTTTTCCATAAGCTTTTACACTATCTTTTATACAGCATTTTATTATGCAACTGCAGCAAATATTGTCCAAATAACATTACAAATATACAGCAATGTTGTACAGTTATTTGTACAGTAGAAAACCTGTTTGCCAGAGAGGTCGGCACAAGCATGCAAAACTGTCACACTATCCCTCTTTCACTGATAAATGTATTGATTACAGCAGTTGGATAATGAATCTCTTATAATTTAGAGGTTTTGGTGTGTAGTATCTCAATGATTCTTACCATCTGCTACGATATTATAGTAGATAATGTACTGCAAAATTTTGCCATTTGTTACTACTGGAGGTGCCCAGGTCAACTCTATTTCAGTATCAGAACGAGCCAGGGCAACAACATTCTCTGGCTGCTCTGGAACTCGAGGTTTAGGTGTAGTTGACCGCAGTGTTGTACTGGCAGTTGTTGTAGTCTCTGGTGTTGTTGTTGTTGGTGCAGGTGTAGTCGTGGGAATACGGTCTCCTGCATAACAGATAAACACAAGTTAGAAATAACCGATAGGCAAACAATTGATCAGCAAGACACTGACAAATGATGAGGTTTTGCGATAACCAAGTTCGATAATTGTTTTATCATTCAATCACCAAGTTTGTTTTAATATTTAAATCACTCTGACAGCTCAGGGAAGCCATCTGCCATTTTTTACATAACAGCATGGTTACAATAATATGCTTGAGCAGAATATTATTTTTAGCAAAATAAAATTAGATGGTATTATGCACGAGCAGACCATTTTTTGATTAGCAGTTATCTGCTGGTCATGGGGTGATTTCTCCGCCAATGTAAAGGAAGGAAGATATGCATCAAATGATAATCACAGCTACACATTAGAATGGGTTTGGAATTCAGCCTGCTCTTTGTGAATAATATTTACCTTTCCTGTAAACATAAAGTTCTGCAGTTGCTTGAACTCTCCCGAGGTCATTCTCTGCAAAGCACTGATAGGAACCCATATCTGATAAGGCCACTTCTAAAATAAGCAAGAAACCTTCCCCAACAGTGGTAAAAGGTGTATTTGTAATGATGTCACCAGTTTTACTCCATGTGATGCGCGGTTTAGGCATCCCATCTGCCAAACAGTCAAACCGTACATCGGTATGTTGGTAAGCATGGACAGCTCTCGGTTTCTTCGTAAAAACAGGAGGAGCTAATAAAAGGAGAAACTTATGACTCACAGACTGAACTATTAAATTGAAACATCAGCTGAAAGATTAACTTCTCATTAAAGAGTTAAACAAGACATGAAGTAAATATAACTACAAGAATCAAGTCTAAGAAGTAACATAGATTTGCTAAATTTGCATATAATAGTCAGAGTGGTTTTTTACCGAGTATCATAAAACCAAAACCAGAGTAATCACAAGGGCCGATCACAAACAGCATGGACAAACCAGTGAACTACTCAAATTTCAAAGCAAGCACATGTAGGTGACAGGAAGTGCAGATTGTGCCATATACATGTAGAGTCACAATTGAAGGGGTGAGTGCAAAACCATGCTAAGTGACGATTTGGGTGAAAAAAAAATTTTTCGCAAAAGGGCTTGAATTTTTGCATGTGGTCTTAAATGTAATAGAAAAACGTGGTCCTGTATTTTT